TTCATTGATTTCATCTACTCCAACATTCATCCCTACACCCACATTCTCCTTAATTTCACAGGTGGTCCTTACATCATCCTTATTGTTACAATTTGTCTACTCTTGAGCCACATTCTCCTCAGTTTCACAGTTTGTCCCCACACGACCCACATTTTCCTCAATTCCAGCATTCTCTTCAATCCCAACATTCTCTTCAACTTCATCAATTGTTGTCCCCTCTTCCACCACATATTCACCAAATGTGGTCCCACCTTCATTACTCCCCCTTTCATATACTTCACCAACCACATCTTCAGCTACTGTGGTCCCATCTAGATTATTAACCATATCAGGCCCTTCACCACACACATCTTCACCCAATATGATCACATCTGGTAGTGAGAGTATGGGCTCCTTAATAACATCAGGTTCAGATACAGGATGTGTAACATACAAATGGCATTCCCCAATTAACACTGCAATTGTTCTCATCCTATCAGTCTTCTTATCATTTTATAACTGAACTATACCATTAGCAATCATGTCATCATAATACCAAAGCCTATCTATAATAAGTTAACCTAAAACTCTTTACTTGTCCAATATTTCAAAGTAACTCCAATAATCAGATCAACATCTCATATCTCCTCTAACCCTACATAACCTGACTTGGTAAGATTTGCAAACTCCCTAGAAAATTCACTAAAATGATGAACAACACACTTAAACCTACTCCCCATGACCTAATCAACCTACATATAGTATCATAAGTACTAAGTAAGTTAGGTGTAAAAGAAAGTTAACATTTTTAGTTACGTATTTGTGCAAGTTCGTACCTTAGGGTTTTTTCTGTAGACGAATGAAAGAACAAAGTTCTTCTTCAATGGAGGGTTGTTGTCGTAAATGCCGCTATCGTCGTCTTCAATAAACTTCATCTTCAAACATGTGTTGTTGTAAACAACGTAGTTACTATCCTACTCTCTGAACCTGGCCTTTCATCCAACAATGTAAGTATGCCCTAATATGTTTCATCTTCTTAAAATGGATGTTAAGTGTAATATAAATTCCACCTCATCCATTAAAATAAATACAGAATATCTACCTAAGCCATTTTAAGTCCAACAATGCATATTCTAATGTTTTTCCAACCAAAACTAACAAAAAGGACTAGTATATGTAACAGAGGATACGTTAGTAGACCATAATGTAATGTTTTTTTCTTAAGGGACCAAAGCGAAACAATGACTAAAGTTAAGGGAATAAAAGAGGTATTAAACCTTAATTTTACCTTTATAATTCATTGGGAATCAATTGATTCAATGTGGTTTTAATCTGAATAATTGATTGTAAAAATTGTTGATTCGTTTATCTCATAAATTTTATTCCATTTGGCTGCGCATATCTGATCTTACCAATAACGGTTCGTTTAGACGATTATAAATCCAGGCCGCTTCCGCACATTTTAGAAACAATTTTTAAACGTCGATTTTTGTTAAAAATTAGTGATCTATTCAATTCCCTTCTAGATCATTGCCATCATCTAACACAAATCATAATAGGATAGGTATTTCCCAAGGTTCTAGTGGTTTTCAGAGTCAAACAATTCAAATCCTCGCAAAAACGGGACTGGTTTCAACAAAGAATATGTATTTATAATTAGAAATACTACTCATTACAGCATTAGAAACAAGTTGTGTATCACTACGACTCTTTATAGGAGATACTTTCCCTATAAATTCAACAAACTTACAACTAAAATTTCTACCCTCAATTGCGAAAGGATAGGATGCGGTTCGAGTAAGCTAATCGGATGACGATTACTCAAAGCTTAAGAAAGGATTCTCGGGCCCAAGTAATCGGGAAAGGCTTGACTCTCTCTTTTTTTAACCTCAATTGTGAAAGGATAGGATGCGGTTTGAGTAAGCTAATCGGATGACGATTACTCAAAGCTTAAGAAAGGCTTCTCGGACCCAAGTAATTGGGAAAGCGAGTCAAAGGCTTGACTCTCTCTCTTTTTCATCCTTAACGGTGAAGGAATAGACGTGGTTCGATATGTTTAAAGGCTTGACTCTCTCTCTTTTTCTTAATTGACACATTAATCGGCATCATTATTTGCTTAGGGCATTTCACCTTGTCGGCTATATTTATCGTCACCGACTTATCGCATGGTTGGCAAGGGAAAGGTGCATAACACTGTGGGAGACTTACTTCACCATAAACCGCTCCCTGCTGGATACTTGAAAGTATCAGTTGATATTGCGTTAGAGGGGGGTGTGTTGTTGCCTATACCAGATGTTGTTTCAGACGCAACAGTGGTGGGAGACACAATAGGAGTGTATGTTGCATGGCCGACAAATCTCATTTTCATAGATGATGAGGTATGTTGAAAACCATTATGTACCTTGTAATATTCAAATGTTTTAAGAACCATAGATGAAAGTTATTCTTACATTTACATTTTCTTATTTACATGATGATCTTAGACTCCTACGAAATCCAAATCAAAAGATAAGGGAATCATTGTGCGGGAAACCGATTCAGCTGCATCAAAGAAACAGGTACTACTACAATTACATGATTATCTTATCATACATTAATTACTGAACTTGTATGACTTTTAGGTTCATGATCAACATTTGCAACAAGTCAGCAAGGGTAAGATGCCTGAATCGTCCAAGGTGCCAAACAAAAAAAAGGTCGAGCCAAAAAAAGCATTTGTTCCTCGATTTAGGTTGTGCCTTGAAACATATGTAGGAACAACAGATGTGACTGAGGGTGGCATCCTTCAAATACCTATGGAGAAAGGTATTTTCGGTTTTGAATATACCAAAACAATTGCTAAGGAGGATTTGGAGCAGGTTTTCCAACATTCTGAATTGGGCGTCGGTGTTATGCATTCCTACATCAGGTACTCCGATCCATTTTAATTAAATAATTGAACATTTTAAAATTTGCTCATTTAACTGAATATTCTAATGTTGATTATGTTTTTCTTTTAGGCTCTTGTATGACAAGTTGTTGGTCCCGCATGATTTGACTTCCATATTCACATTCTTATCTGCTAGCTGTATCAACTCACGGGCAATAGATCACACACCAGATGTAGTCAAAGATTACATAGTCCAAAGATTTATGGCCGCGACTACTGAGAAGTTGTTCTTGTTGCCATATAATACTGGCCATGGGTATGACTTCATTCTAAATTCATTTATTATAATTATTTGATTTTTGCCATTCTATATAACATTTCCGTCTAAACTGTTGTTTTATTTTATAGTGCACACTGGTTGTTGGTCGCGATTAATTCGATGAAAGAAATGGTGTATTATCTGGATTCATTGAATGACGATCAAACAAAATACCCTGATATGAAGAATATGATTGATACGTAAGTGATGAGATATACTGTTCTGAATATTTATATATCTTTATTTATTATGTGACATTGTTCTAAATATGTGTTTATATTATGTTAGAGCTATACAAATATTCAGAGCACAAAGACAAGCAACAGTGCCAAAAAGCAAGGCTAACAACATTAGCTGGATCAGAGTGCAGGTACATTTTCCCATTTTTGACTGCTATAGTGGTCCTACTTGATAAAACTATGTAAACTATATATCCTGATAAATGTTCATTTGTTTTTTTCCATTTACAGTGTCCTCGTCAGCGCAATGGGATTGATTGCGGATATTTTGTATTGCGCTTTATGAAGGAAATTATTCATTCTAGTCAAATAGAGATTCTAATCATGGTATGGATCAATTCATAAATTATATGATTCATTTTGATAATTAACCGATATTTCATCTGAGTAATTAGTTTTAAAACTAAATCGTGCATGTTCTGTTATATTATGTAGTACTTTGATGAATTCAAGTGTGGTACTTACTCGAAAGCAGGATTGGAAGAAATAAAGGAGGAATGGTGTCAATTTATTCTTGAGTTGAGAATTGTATAAGGTATATGTATCATCCAATATTGATGCGGGATAATAATATTTTTGGAAGTCGTATCTATTTGTAAAGTTAACGGATTTGTAATTATATGTAAATTGATTATATTTGTGATGTTCTAATTCTGAGGATCGGATTGTGTTGTAATATATTTAATCAGGTTTATGTGTATTAAAATGATTATGGGCAAAGTGATGAATTACAATGTATACTTAAAGGGCAAAGTGTTGAATTGTATATATAAGGCCAAAGTGTTGAAATAAATGTCTGAATTATAAGCAGAGAATGTAATATAAGCAGGTTTGTCGAAAAATATATAAAAAGGTGTGATTATTTAAAAAAAAAATTAAAAATCGTGAAGATTAGACACCGCTTTTACAAAAAAGCGCTGTTAAAGGGGACAAAGAGAGCGCTGCTATAGGTGGGGAAAGAGGGGGGTGTCTAAGACAGCGCTTTATAAAAGCGCTGCTAAATGGGGGGTCTAAGAAAGCGCTTTAAAAAAGTCCTGCTAAAGGGGGGGGGGGGGGGGGGGTAGGGCGAATAGGCAGCGCTTATAAAAAGCGCTGCTAAATGTGTTGCTGAATGGAGCCTTTAGCAGTGTTTTTCCATAAAAAAAGCGTTGTCTTTACCTTTAGCAGCGCCACTTTTGGCAGCACTGTTAAACGCTGTTAAAGACAAAAAAAACGCTGTTAAAAATCTTTTTTGACATAATGATTGAAGATGAACAAAATAGAATATACAATTAAACATAAAAGTTGTAAATAATTGAAATATCTTTTCCAGAGTATAAGAATCAAATAGATTGTATGAATATAACTCAAAAAAATGATCAAAATACTATGAAATGGTTGGAAACAAAATACAAGATAGGAAGCTTGGATTAATTAGTCCTTGAATTCAACATTGAAGTTGGAGAAATTAAACTTCAAGCCAAGCATAAATGTTGTAGGAAAGTGATATAGCTTTCTAATTGTTCTAGAATCATATTGATTGAGTATGATTCATCTCATCAATATTAAAAATTAAAAATTAAAAAAAAAAAGTTGATCATTCAAAAAAAAAACTCTAATAGTTTTTATTAGAATGATAATCTATAATATCTTGAATTAAACATGAAATATTGAAGTGAGAAGAACCTTCATCCACATCTAAAGCCTTTGTAGCCATATTTCCAAATTCTTTTGCTCTACACCTCCTCTTTTCTCCTTCTACACCTCCTTCCATACACATCTCTATAACTTCAACAACTCTACTTTTCTTCACCAACACTCCAGCTTTCTTTTCATCACCAAACCTCACTGGAACCTCAACACCAATCCCAACTCCAATCTTTAGCACTTCAACAATAAACTTCTCATTCACAAACTGTTCAGCAAATAAAGGCCATGTTATCATTGGCACCCCAAAACACACACTTTCTATAGTTGAATTCCATCCACAATGTGTTAAGAATCCTCCAATGGAAGGATGAGAAAGTATCAAAATTTGTGGTGCCCATCCTTTAATCAAAAGTCCTTTTCCTCTAACCCTTTCCTCAAAATTTTCACTTTTTAACCAATTTTCTAGCTCTAAATAATTCTCACCATTGGTTTTCACCACCCAAATAAATGGTCTATTTGATGATTCTAAACCTAAACCAATCTCTATCAATTGTGATGTAACAAGTCTACATAAACTACCAAGACATACATAAATAACTGACCTTGTTTCCATTAGGTTAAGCCATTCCAAGCATTGTTTCTCTTCAATACAAGATTTGTTTCCTCTCTCAAACTTATCTAAACTCTCTTTATTGCATAAAGAAACTGGACCTATGCACCAAACTCTTTTGTTCATGACTTTCTCATACTCTTGAGCACAACCATGTTCTAACTCCTCAAAACTATTTACAACAACTCCATGTGAAGACATTTCAGCTTCATGCATTTTGTCTCTATAGTCATCAAGATCAGGAAGAGAAACAAATGTTCCTGGAAGTTGAGCTCTTGTTATCTCAATCCTCTGAGGCATTACTCCAGGGATCACGAAAGGGTCGGTGTCGGAATCGACAGAATGATGAGCATTGTGCAGTTTGATATTATGAGAGGTGAGTAATGAGAAACAAGACATGCCGTGGAAAACAAGTCTCGGAACGTTGAACTTTTTCGCTGTTGAGGATGTCCAAGAGATGCATTTGTCTGATATAATGCAACTTGGTGGGAAAGAATGGTTTGTGATGTAGTTTTCTAGAGGCTCTTGAAGCATGTGAAGTGCATTGTAGAAGTTTCTGAGAAGGTTTCTTGATGGTAGAGTGTCGAGATTTTCGCAGGAGAATGGAAGTTGAGCTTCTTGAGATGGAAATGGGAGTTCAAGGAGGTGGATTGGAAGGCCTGATTTTGTTGATGTATGGATTGTTTTGTGAAATCTTGAAGTGTTTTGAGGTGTTGTGAGTAAAGTGACTGTCACATTTTGTTCTGCTAGGATTCTTGCCATGTCTATCATTGGGATCATGTGGCCTTGAGCAAAGAGAGGAACCAAGATAAAGTGAAGGTTGTTGGATTCAAAAGACATTGTAATATGTTTGGTTTGTTAGGATGTGAGATAGATTTTGGATTTGAGGAAGATTATGGATTGGAAAAATGAGAATTAGTAAAAAATAATTAATTTCAAGACTAAAAGCTGGGGGAGGATATTCGAACTTAACCGAACTAGTTTAAAACAAATTCGAAGTTCAATTTCCCACATATTAAAAATTAGAATAAAAACAAAAAGGTTTGATTGGTCGGTAATTCTACTTTCAACAACTTAAGTACATTTATTAATATGTTTTCTTTAGAGTCATATTTTTAATAAAATCTAAAAGACTAATTAATCTATATGTTATTCCATTATATTAGTCTTGATGTTAAAAATATCACATGGCTCTAGTAATGAGGTTGGGTTGGTATAGTTCACATATACAAAACGATGACCTTGACTTTGAAGAGTTCAAACGTGGCCATGCATTGCACGTAGCCTTTGACTGAAAACCACTTGAAATAATTTTGTTTTCTGAGTTATCTTTTTCTAATTCTAAAAACATTTGGCTTTTCTCTAGATTCCATATATTTAGAAATTTGTAGGTAGTTTTCCATGGAATTTTATTTATATTCATATATAAACTTATATAAATTATTTTATATTGTCAATCAACAACAATTATTATATTATCCATTATATTTTTATTATAATAATATCTAAAATTAAATTTAAAAATAATTATAATATGTTAATAGTATAAAATATTTTATTAAACAATTTATAATAACAGAATTTATATTTTATTAATTAATAAAAATTAAAAAATATTATTTCCAAATTTTTTATAGAATATGTTTTAGTCAATAAAAATGAATGTATATATATATATATATATATATATATATATATATATATATATATATATATATATATATATATATATATATATATATATATATATATATATATATATATATATATATATATATATATATATATATATATATATATATATATATATATATATATATATATATAGACTACTAAGAGTTATTATATATATCAGCACTAAAACATGTATATGGTGGATTAGGTGTTGATATGGTCAACGGTTGCCTTGCGTAAGAAAGGAGCAAAACTAATATTATAATTTGTATTCCTACTACTATATATTATTGTGGGCGACGTTTTTAAAATATCTTAATATATAATGACATTTTTGCTTATCAATGCTTATTAAAATTAATTTTTTTGACGTGTAATATGACATTATTGTTGGACGTGTAATATGACATTTTCTCTAAATAGAAGTTGAAATTTGATTTTCTGTGGTGTGGAAACTCATTCCTTCCTCATATTCTACTTTGGACTGTATTAAAATTAGTATATTAATGTTTAGTCTTTTATAAGTTTTTATTTTTTATTTAGAGTATTTTTTCTATTTTCCATTTGGTGTTTACATAGTTTTACAAGTTTCTCAAATATACTTTCAGTTAGAAGTCTCACCCGGGTTACCTAACCATTTAAAAAATAAAGACTTTTCATTTAATTTTTATCTATCTTAGTTTGATTTTATTGCTATGTTAGTCATAATTTATGATAAGCAGAACTTTTATTGCTTTAAAGTCCTTAATTTTGTTTTTATTTCTTATGTTTTCTTTCCGTTTTTGTTCGATTTATTTTCGTCTTTTTATTTTTTCTGTGTTTTAGAGATATATCAAATTAAGGCAAAATTAGAAAAAAGTTATAATACAACTATATAAAAGAATTACATAGTAAAAATTTGAGGGTATTACTGTCAAGTCGGAATGTCTTTTACAGTTGTAATGGCCCCGACACTCTTTTGATAGTAATTTTTTTGAGAACTTTGCGATTAGGCCACAATGAATGCTGCAAATCGTAATGGCTATTATGGTCGTAATGGCCCCAAGACATTCATGAATTCTAAAATTCTAGCGTTTTCTTTTTTGACTTCTGCACTTTTCAACTGTTTTTCTTCATGTTTGAGGCATTTTAATGCGAAAATAATAGTAGGTTTATGACTCTAAGCTTATAAAAGGTCATTGAAATTGTTGAATTGATCCACCTTACATTACTTTATAATTTCTACACTTTCCAACTATTTTTCTTCATGTTTGAGGCCTTTTAATGCAAAAACAATAGTAGGTTTATGACTCTAAGCCTATAAAAGGTCATTAGAATTGCTGAATTGACACGCCTTACATTACTTTATACTTTCTGCACTTTCCAACTATTTTGCTTCATGTTTGTGGTCTTTTAATGCGAAAATAATCGTAAGTTTATGACTCTAAGTCTATAAAAAGTCATTGGAATTGCTGAATTGACACATCTTACATTACTTTATAATTTTTGCATGAGTTATTTTTCTTTCTAACTACTTTTAAAGATTTATAAAAGTATCTCTGAAGCACAAAGTTTAAGTTATTTTTCTTTCTAACTATTTTTAAAGATTTATAAAAGTATCTCTGAAGCACAAAGTCTTATGTAATCGTTTGATACTTAAATTCAGGTTTAATCATGTGTATCTTTATAATCGCTTTGTTATTATCTTATAATCATGCTTATGTTTTTACTATCATTGATGTCGTCTTTTACTTTATTCATGTGTGAATCAATAAGAATGGATGATGTTTGTAATCATTATAAGAGACTTAGGTTTGATGATGATGGATGCATGGACGACAGTAAATCGAATATCTCTATTTTGACCGAATGGAAAGTGATATAAGAGAGATTTTGAAGGTCGATGGCAACATGAAACTCCACATTAAAGAGCAACTGAAGAAGATTGTCTATCCGAAATCACCAACATGAAATAGATTCTCCATGTCTAACTTTCCAACATCCCCTTAATTTTGTTTTTTCTTTATTCTATTATTTCAAGTTATGAACCAAGAAATAGATACCTTAATTAATTTTTTTTTTGGAGTTTTATTTAATTTTTTTTTTAGGGGTTTGAGATAATGTGTATAAAAGTGATGGTGAAGATAAAGAAGATGGAAGAATATTTTAAAGGAGTTTTTATTTTTATTGTTTTGGATGAAGATGGTGAACATATGAAAACAAGATGAAGACATATAAAGGAAGAAGATGAAAAAAATGTAAAATATATTAGGTATCGATGGCTCATCATAAAATTTAATAGATTACTAAAAATCAATGGTGTGATATTTGTTAAAATTATCCAATGATTAAAATTTAAAAAATAAAATAAAGTTTATGATGAACATTCAACAATAGTGTTTCACCTAAAATACTTAAAGTTAAAAGTTAACAAAATGGACTAAATTAATTAACATAATAGTTTTAAAGTGCTTAAATGTTTATGATATAAGTGACTAAAGTTAAACCTTAAATTAAGTTAAGAGACCCCGTCACTAATTAAGCCTAATTTCTAACAATGATACACTTATAGGTAACAAAAATGTAAATGAATATTACCAGCTTTGAATACAAAATAATTAGAGATATTAAAAATAGAAATTTGTATTAATATATGAGGAATCATTTGTAAAGTAAAGACATATCCTGTTGTAGATCTCCTATCATCCATATCACAAGCATAATTTGAACCAACATATCCTACAACTGAGGGATTGCCCTATTCACTGCTAAACATCATACCATAACCCACAGTACCCTTCAAGTACCTGAAAATCCATTTGAATGCTTCCTAATGACGTTTTCCTAATTTAGACATAAACTTACAAACTTGACTTACAACTTGTGTCAAATCTAGTCTAGTGCAGACCATATCATGCATTAAACAACCAACAACACTAACATAAAGGACCTTTTATATATACTCAATTTTTATATCTGTCTTTGGACACTGATCTAATGAGAGTGTAAAGTGATTCTTCAATGAGGTACTCACAGATTTTGAATTACTCATGTCAAACTTATCCAGCATCTTTTCAACATAGCTTTTTTTGATAGAATCATAATTTTCTAGCACCCATATCCCTTTGAATTTCCATATCAAAAATCTTCTTAACAACACCTAAGTCTTTCATGTCAAACTCTTTTTCCAACATGATTTTCAGTTCATTTACATTGTGTAAATAATTATTTATTTATTTTAAAATATTGGTATTTGACTTTGCGACCGACTAATCCAAGAGGATCAATCTCACCATCCACTAGTGGGGATCCCGTTTAAATTCATAGTAGAGCTCTGTATGGACTTGTCCAACACAAAGATTGATTGCACATAGTAGAACTCGAACTCGAGACCTTGAGAGAAGTGCACTCTTAAGACCCAAGCCTCCACCAAATGATTAGAGGAAATCAACATATCATCAACATACAAAATAACAAAAAAAAAAACAAAAGAATCATTACTACAAAATATACATTTCGTAACATCTTATCACTCCGACTTTTAAAACAACCGAAGTAATAACTCTTATTTTTCCACCTTAATTTTTTATTCATTTAATAAAACACTTTTCACCATGATCCAGTCTAACAACTGTGGTGATATATTAAGGATTACATGATTTGAATCACAACACCAACAATTTTTCATTTTCTCGTTACAAAAAAGGGTGTATCCCCTTAGACATTTTTCACCATGATCATTTCTACCAACCGTAGAGAAATGTGGCATTTGTTTTTTCAATCTTAGCGTGTTTAGTTTTCATAAACTCACAGAAAGTTTAGTTTTCAAGATAACACATAGTTTAGTTTTTACAATCTCATATACGCTTTGTTTGCTCTTGATTTCAATCAACTAAAAAATGGGTCAAAACTATATTTTTCTTTTATTCCACTTCACTTGTTCCGTTGATTCAAATCATGAATTACTCTTGATTGGAATCTAACTAACCTTTTCAACCATATTTTGTTCTTAATCTTAAGCACATATAAAATCTTTTTGTCATCATTTTTATGTAACAAATCAACAAACTTATAACTATTTTTGTTTGATCCTGTGAAAAATCAACACCCTCTACTTTTTAAAGATCAATACTCTTGCAATGAACATCTTACATCTTTAACTTCAGTTTGATTTTAGATCTTGATAA